CGACGAAATGTAACCTGATAGTATAGATAAGGATGAGTGCAAAACGGCTCGGGAAGCACTCGACAGAACAATTTACGCACAGGAACAGAAATCAAAAAATGTTATTTATCAAGCTGCGTTACATTGAAAAAAATGTAGGCAAATCGTAATTGAATGATTTTTAACAGAATATTTGTATCTAAATTCAAATTTCTTTTATTTTCACAAAACCTGTGAGGTCAGCTGGTTGCATATATATTTGGTTCTTTATAACTGCTGAATTTTTCGGCCGAGCTCATCCTCGAAATTAGTGGTTTTGCATCTTGATTTTTTTCCAACAAATGGAAAGACCTCTAGTTTAATCTAAGCTAGCCCGGAACCGCTGATAAGTTTTTATGGGGAATTCTTTATTTTATGTCAGCAAGGTTAAGGGTTCAAGTACTTTCGAGGAACACACTCCATGTTTATAAAGAAAAATATTACGACAACCGTTCGACGGCATTGAACCAACTTCCTGACATTCACTGTTTACCTTATGCGTTTACCGTTATGCTTTATTTATAAAATATATCTATGTTTGAGGTTGAGAGCATAAATATAAGAAAATTTTCCAAAGCTTAAAAGCAAATACATACATACATTGAAGAAAACGTAAAAACATACATACATACATACGGTTATGTTAAGTTCTTAAATAATACAATAGTTTAGAAAAAATATTAGAAAAGATATTATTTTCTTTCTTTCTTTATCAAATTTCTTTAGATATAAATCTAACATAAATTTTTACGTATATCTGCTCACATTAACCCACACTGTTACAAATTTTTAAACACGCAAAGTTTCGCAAAGTCAAATGCTTCTTTCTTGCAAATGGAATTTGCGCTTCGAATTTTTTTAAAATTTATTTAATGTTTTTGACATTATTTACATATGCCGTTTGTATTATGAGAAATCGAATATTGGAGCTGCTAGCTACAGAAACTTTTGTTCAATATTAAACTAAAATTATTTTTAATATTTGATGCTTTTTGCATTTGCTCTACTTTTTCGATAACCTTTCGCCTTTTTGAGGGTGATTATCAATGTCACACCTCTCTCTCACAGAACCCTTGCCTCTTTATACAAGAGAAAAAGAGGAAAATCGATTTTCATGAGCCAAATCATTCGCCGTAGACAGGAACCCCCAGCCAAACTCTCAGCACTTCTGGTGAATCACTATCGATGCGTGTGGCCTGGCGTTATGCTGATGAAACACAATTGCTAACTTCAGACAGTCCAATTGCAGACAATATAGGTCCACCAAACACGCCAAAAAACTTTCCTGGCCATCTATCCTAGCCTGAAGGCTATTTATGGCGACTCACTGCCCTTTGAACATGACCTATGACCTATTTGACGTTACTGTAAGTAATCTTTTTTCGCCACCGCCACATCAAAGCTACCGGAACGAGGTTGACGAAACCAAAATCATTCATGAAGAATGGCGAATGTTTGGTATTCCGAGATATATTGCAAAATGATTCTTAATTCTACGGAGGAGCTATGAAAGCTGTTTTGGCAGTTCAACGGGCAAAATTATTCGGTTTTTATAGCTTTTTTTGGGAAACCCGAAAATTGCACCAACTTAGCCTTAAGCAAATAACTCTCATGATCGTTAGGGCAAAACTAGTACCGAAAGCTCATAAAGAAGTTTGCGTTTCTTAAGGCAAAACTTGGGCGTGTGTGGGTCGGGGTGAGCTGCGTGATGTCGTTGGTGGTCGCGTGTTTTTGGGCCAAACCAATTTTCACTTAACCACATGCATGTAAGCAAAGAAATAAAAATAATAAAAAATTAACCACGAAGCAGACACAGACAATAAAAATAATGTTTAGGGCATCATTGCGGGGCAGACACGTCAAGTAAATTGTGGACATTTCGGTTAATTGCTGTCATTTCTCCTCATGCGGACGAGTTTGCTTTTTTATGTGCGTAAGTTAATGTTAATAGTCATATCTCCGCTTTTATTTGCTGACGTACATTGAAACACGTATACATACTCGTAAGCATGTCTGTATGTGTGTACTGGTACGTTTATATGCAACTTTTGTTTGCTCTGCGACTATCCAAGACTTCGAGCTGCCACAAGTTTTTCGTATCAATTAATAACGACAGCGAATGTATTGCTTTGACTAACGGTGTTTTTGCATTATGATATTAATACACAATATTTAATATAACAATCGTTCACAGATTTGATCAACATTGTCAGTTATATGCTTATACATACACACAAATAAGAAAGTAACGCTTCCGCAACCCGACTGGGCATCTCTTCAGCGCCAAGTGATGGAGTGCCGTTCGTAGTAAGTCGCATGGAATACATATGTATGCACGTATTGCCTTTGGTAGCGAAATCAAAATGTCAATTTCTTGCTTTCCACAGTGCAAAACTTTGCTCTTACTGTTGCTGTTGTTGTTGTAGCAAAACCAAGTATGTTGCTGCGCTGCCGTGTGAAGGTTGGTGCAATAGCAAAATAGCAAACGGGCCGCCATCAATAAATATATAAAATAAAAAAACAACAACAACAAGCAAGAGCTGCAGAGCATACAGCGCGTAGAGCAAGTTGTGGAGCAAAACGCGCTGGCACAGCGAAATATGAAGGGTAACGGTGATTTCGAACTTGTTTTCGTTTCATTAAAAATTGATTGCGTTGTTGCACATCGAGTAAATATTTGCAACATACTAGGTAGCTATGAAATTGCACTCGCAAATAAATCTTCACATATGTTTGTATGTATGTATGTATGTGTGTGTATGCTCACATGCCTGTTTGTATGTGCAACACACAATGTTTGAAAGAATCAGCTGAATATTGGAGTAGTAGGCGGACGAGGATCAAATGGCTTTTATTTACCTTAAAACAATGGCTTGGAAGTACACATACATATGTATGTACATATGTACACATATAACCATGTATAGAGAACAAGTATTTACTTTAAGAATTTTTACTTTAAATGTTTATTTACCAAAAACATCATTTGAAACATCAATGGAAACCAATCCGCAAGCTTTTTTCAACCCAACCAAATTCTAGGTGTGCATATGTGCACATAAAGGGTGATTTTTTCAGAGTTAAAGGTAAGTTTTTAGAAAAAAAAAGCACAGAAAATTGAATGAAATCGATATACGGCCCATGTCAAGAAATATGTAAATATTGACCGTGTCTGCGCCTCAAATCTTCCTTCCGCTAAGTCCAATTTCGGCATACTCTTCCCAACTTTTGAAACGGTCTTTCACGAAAAAATGCTTCAATGTTGTCCTCCAGTGCGTCAAATGTTCACCGAAATCACCCATCAAAAAGTCCATTTTTACGCGTGCTGTGTGGCATGTGGCCCCGCCTTGTTAAAACCACATGTCATGAAGGTCAAGCTCTTGCATTTCATGCAATTTGATATCACCTCACGGTAGCGCTTACCATTCATAGTTACGTTAGCATCATCTTTGAAGTCCAATGATGCCACCAGCCCATAAACCGCACCATCTGTGACTTCTTCTGTATGCATTGGTAGCTCTTGCAAAGCTTCTGGCTGATCTTCACTCCAAAATCGACTATTCTGCTTATTTACGCACCCATTAAGCCAAAAATGAGCTTCTAAGCGTGCATGGAAGAAGCGCGCGATGAACTTTCTTAACAGAGCACGCATTTCGATAATAAAATTCAAGCATTGTTCTTTTGTCAGACGATTCATGATTAAATTATAGACCAAACTGAAGATGTTTGACGGTGATACAGCTGTATAAACCAGTTTTGCCAAAAAGATGATAGCTAAAAAATCACCCTTTACATGTGAATACGCAGAGTCACATTGTTTTCTTTTCTATATTTACGATTTCGAATAATTCAAAGAATTATGGCAGTTTTCGATTAACGATTTAAGCTTCAACTTGTGGCACGTCATACGTTGACAACAACGCGTGTGACCCACTTCTATGGAGTTTTAATTTCTAAGTGTTGTGGTTGCCTTTGGAGAGTAGTCATCATACCGCTCCAGCAGACAGGAACCATCTCCAAGCTCATCAACTCGTATGTCATTCTATTTTCTGCTCATTCACATATTTTTATGAAAATAATGAATTACTTGTTGTTGTCTTTTTCATAGCTTCTACTTGCTACTGGTTGCTGATTTTCATATCTACATAAGCATATTTGTATCCTTCCCTACTTAATATTAACATTTTTCCTAATAGATACTTCAATAAATGCACTGGAATCCCTTGCGCCTTCTCTTATAAAGCGGACAGTTCTATATGAATAAGTTTAAAAGATTTGGCGAAGTTGAGTTGGACGCCGTGTCTTCACGGTCAGCTCGGCACTTAATACCTTCAGCGCACTCTAAACTGTTCTGTTAAAATATATCAGGAGTATCTGTTGGACCAAGAGTTTCCTTGTTCAAGGAGAAAAAAGCTAATGCTCATCGCTTTCACTACCCTGGAGTCAATGACGTCACCGTCTCCTCGTCAAACTTTTGAGTGGTAATAATACCACCAAATTCTTCCGATTACGCCGAATAACGTAGCTGAGTGTGCCTCAACGCTTTTAGTCACATAGAAACTATTTTGGCGACTTCATAATTTTCTTTGTTACTTTACGCTCTCTTAGTTTTCCAAATAAAACTTTTTTTGAATTTCTGTCGCTCATCGGCGATGAATGGCACCCCCTTCGAAAGCCTACCGCTGACACTAAACAAAATTTCTTCATAAAAACCCATTAGCAGTTCTCATGTAGAACGCCCACCACAAAGTGGATGATGAGCTCGGTCGGAAGTCGCTTCAACAGCTAATGTGTTTGCCGGCCCGTGGCCATGCTGAAAGCGCATTTACTGCATATATAAATGTACGAGTATGTATGTATATCTTATGTACATGGAAAACGCAGCAACTGCGTTGTAGCACAAAGCTTCTTAATTAGCTCTTTGTCTGCCGATTGAAATGCGCATCAAATCTGATTAATTATTCAATTAGTAATAAACTCACCTGTCAATAATAAACCATTGTCGCTGCCCGGCAGGTGGACATTAAAATCTTCCCTTTCAGAGTGGTGAGGTGGCACTATCCAATAACAACAAAGCTACACAACTGCGTACATCAACACGCTCTTTGCTCACTGTGTGCGTTTCGATCACACTCGCACTCTTATTAATAATTCCTGAAGAGTTGACACGAAACCCGCCACTCCGCTACACCGACACTTCAAAGGATACTAACGCACACACATACAACGGCCACGAATAACCACGGACCATGGCGACGGACGATAGCAATTGACTACCGAAACGAATTTAATGATACGCGTAAGCACCCGTCTTCCGGCCACTCTTAGGAAATGCGCGCAGGGTTGAGTCCTCCCTCCATTTACCAGCCGCTTGTTGCGCTTTTACTGTTTCTTGCCACTTTTGCTTTCAGCCCCATTAAATGATTTCGACCCACGACCATTAATTTTGATTCAGATTTTATTTTCAACACTTCCGATACATCACGCAGGAGAACGTCGAGCAACTTAATCACTTATGGTCGCGGCGCGAGATCTTAATCAGCGGCAATTATAATAACACCAACAATTTGCTTTGCAGTCGCCCAATTTAGCAAAGGCGTGGGCGATTGGAAACTAAATAGACTCGCGCACACTCACACCTGCACACGTAGGCACGCACACTATTTGCGCTTAGGCGTTTGTATTTTGATGATGATCACGATTAGAAAAATTGGTTTAGACGCAGCTGAGAATGTGGCGGCCGTGGAGGGCCATTACGATTTTGCTTTATTATTATTCTTTTGTGGCACAGCAAAATAAAACACCCACAACAGTCCGACAAGCAGAATGAGCAGCGGATCCGCTTAAATGGTTGCGGAAGCAGCGAAAACGCGCGGTTTCTAGCACGAGATTGCATCAACGGAAAATCCTCCGCAGCACAACCCTAAAAGCGCACACGAGCTCGAGCAGTCACAACCTCACATTCACACAATCACACAGACTGGTATTTTTGTTTATTTTTGTGGCAGTTGATGTGATTGGGTTTCCATTTCGGGAGCGCGGTTTTGGGGCTTAGCACTTTTCCTCTTTACCGTTACGACGAATTTCACTGAAAAATTTTTGTTGTTGCTTTCTATTTTCTATTTCTTTTTTTCTTTCCGCTTTTATCCGCACTCAAGGCATCATAGCGGAAAATCCGGTTTCACGCGCACAAACACACAAACAGTAGCAGCGCTGCACGGAATTGCCGCGAATGTATCGAGATATCGAGAGGAGCTTCTGCCGAGCGCACAGCGTATGAGTGACATTTAATTCCTCGCGGGCGGGACTATTTATCACACACAACCGCACAACCGTTACACGGGCATCGCTAAAACTGAATATGATGAAGTGGCGCGCGATTATCTATCGAATGTCAAACTCACTTCACAGCGCCACAGGAAGGAGGCAAAAAGCGCCCGCCTTAACGTATAATAAATGCGATTGGGTTTTCAGTTGGTTGATATGCATGTACGTGTATGTTTGTCTTGGCAGCAATCGATTACGTTTTCAATTTGTGCTACTACGACTCACGACTTGACTGGCAATTTTAGTATTTTTTTTTTTTGGTTTTTCTTTTTGATTTTGGTTTTTAAAAGCAATAATTTTTTGTTTTCTCCTTCAGAAATTCCCGTTAACACACCTTTTAATAAACGTACAACGCACGACGTGACTTAACTTAGCGAGACATGGCGTATATCCTTCTTCGACAGCGTTTTCCCGCCACGCTTAACGCTCACTTGCTATCGCTTGAAAATCCGACGTCGACTGGACTCGCGCGCTGTACACAAACTGACACGCTACTTGCTGGCTGTGAGCATTTTCCTTCAGCCCGTGTCGGCGAGCCTCGTGCCTGCCAAGTGTCAACAAACCCTTACCAGCCCCAACGTCCGTTGCCTTCACTCCTGGCTGAACTCGTTTCGTCCCAATCGCACGTGAAGTCAAAAGCTCGCCACTCTTATACGACGACCTACTGCTGCGCATGTGCCCGCACTTGGTCGCCCTCTCTGACAGTCGGCTCACCGACTGCCCGACTGTCGTCTCGGCCAAAACTTGGTCAATGCATATGAAAATGTGAACGCGCACTGAGTTAGCCTCAGTCGCACGTTAGTCATATGAAGGCGAAATGCTGCCACTTACGGCGCTGTGCGTCTACAGCTGTATTTCGCGTTTTTTGGCTTCACTTACATATTTTCGACTTCACGCTACGCCAACGACATTAATCATTCTGTTTGCAACAACAAATGGTTTTTTTGTAATTTTATTATGAACTTGCTGTTGTTGCTGTTTGTGGCTTGTTCTACATTCTTTATCATCTCGCTTGCACCTTATTCATGCATGGGCCAATCAATATCATTTTTCTCTGCATTCTCAACCCATTTCTGGACACTTTCAACCAGGATTATCCCAATTTGCTTACAACCGCCAATTTGTTGTCATTGAACACGCACAAAAGGAGAGGAGAAAAAACTAAAGCAAATCTAATTCAAAAACATGAAATGACAAAAATCAAGTTGTTTTGTCAATGATTTTAAGATATGAAAAATTGTGAAATTTCTACTCGCCTGCCCTATCTACATTTTGTTTATAAGATTAACAGTTTAGCTGTATACTCGTACATTTCTGGCTCCACGAAGAGCAAAATGCACCGAGAGGCCATCGCCGAAAAAATTGGCAGACCTCACTCTGAGGCGGCAGGAAAAACATTTTATTTGGTTTTTATTTCTTTCATTCCTTTCATTCCTTTTATAGTGTTTATGGTAACACCTTGTTCGCTTTTATTTTGTTTGGCAAAAATACAGAAGGCGATAAGTTTCTCCCAGCAAATTGGGGCAGTTAAAAAAAGGAGTCACAAAATGTGCAACGACTGGGAGAAGTGTGAGAGTGAGCTTGAAAGAAGCGTTCAAAATCGAAGGAATGACCTTATAATGACAATAACGGTGTGTCCCAAAAATAACCGAACTTTATATTTAAATCAAACAACATACAGCGACATCTATTGAAAATTTGCAACATTAAAAAGATACATTCATCCTCTTTCAAACGCACCTAACATCATGTAAGTCGGATGACAAATGTAGAAGTGACAGCCATTTCAATAAAACCAAAATTATGCTAATGGTTCAAAAATAAAATGGAACAAAGAGCAAATATAAAATTTTGTGTCAAACTTCAAAAAAATAATGAAAAAAGTTTATACATGGTTCACACGATTTCAAAATGGTCGTGAGGATTCAAATAACTACCTTAGAGCAGGACGTCCCGAAACTAGTAAACGTGCTGAACTGGTGGAAAAAGTACGTGAAATCATTGGTATCGATGCAAATTTTACTACGAGAATGTTGGCTGAGGAATTGAATACTAGTAAAAACACTATTTGGAGAATTTTAACTGAAGATTTGGGAAAAAGGAAGGTCTGTGCGCGACTTGTTCCACATGAATTAAATGACGACCAAAAAAAAAGGGATTTCTCTCATCGACCATCCTCCGTATTTGCCTGATCTATCACCATGTGACTATTTTTTATTTCCAAAACTGAAAACAAAGATGAAGGGAGCATTTTATGATGATATCCCAGCCATTCAAGCAGCCGTAACCGAGGTAGTGAAGAACATTTCTATAAATGACATAAAAAAAATCTATGCATGCGTTGGTTGATCATTCCAAAAGTTGTGTTGAGTCAAATGGAACCTATTTTGAACGAATAATAACTTTCAAAGATTATATAATGTGTATTTTATTTTCGGTTCGGTTATTTTTGGGACACACCCTGTACACATATGCATATTATCCCCAAAAAGCCACACAAAGTTGTCGTTGTCTTTCTTTGCGGTTGTTTTAGTAGTTTTGCAAATAAACAAGAGCAGTTTGCGAGCTAAAAAGTAATTTCCTGAGCTTCATTAAAACCGGCGACTGTGACACTAAAGAGGGACGATATACAGCGAGTATCCCGCAATTGAGTGTCAGGCTGGCTGACAGCAATGACAATCGCTTCAGATTTTATATGAGCGCAGTAAAAAGCGAAGCGAGAACAAATAAGAAGAGGCTCTAGCGCTAAAGCCTGGCATTCAACTTGGATAAGGAAGGCATGCAAACTCAATGAAAGTAAAGGCACAACAAACATCAATAATATATCAGAATGGAATTGAAATGTGCCAATGAGCACATCTTCATTAAATTTTTGCACAAACAATTGTTTAAGATTTTTTGATTTTTTCTTAATTAAAATTAACTGGTTAACCCTCTTACTACTATTACCTTTCGTCATTTACTAATTGTCACATAAATTACTGATATTTTTGAGCTCTTTACTCGCTTTGAATACCAGACCAGCGCCAGCATTTAGCTTGAGCGAAACTGATAACTTAAACTGGGCGCCCAGCCAACCGTCAGAGCCATGCAGGTGTACAAAGCCGATATGAAATTCTCGAGTTAATGTTCGTCTTGTCGCAATGGAAGGCCAGAGGGAAGTCAATAGTGGAACAAGCCTCACTATCAACATGCAAAGCCATAACAAACCGTACCACATGCCCCACCCGGCTTCCACATCATGCGAGCTCACCAGCTGACTTGGAACTCTACAGAACTTTAAGTGATTTCATGAAAATTTCAAACTTTTTAGCCGTTGAACCCAACAACAGAAACAGTTCACCGAAGTTCATTGGAGTTCGCAGACAAAGCTACGCTGGGAACACATTCCAGCCAAGCGAAACACATGAACACATAACATGGCGGCGACGGCGACGGCAACGGCAACGGCGACGGCGTTCAGTGAGCGGAAAATACTACATCAATTCGATGGTGATGTACTGCAAAAGTACGAGTGCTCGCTCGGGCCTGAGTGTTGCGATAGTAGTTTTTAATTGCGGCAGACAATAGTAAGTTGGTTGCAGGCCCACACGCACACACACAAACAATGGCCAGCGGCAAGGTGGTAAGTTGGAGGCGGTATGTATGTGGCTTGGATGCCCGCCAAATAACGGTAGAGTTCATTAGCGAGCACTCTCCGAGTAGAGTGCATTCAATGTCGAAAAAGATAAGCGAAACAAAAGCGGAACTTTTAAAAATTATCTCAGAAGCACAATTTTTTCAAATATTCTTCACAAAGCGCTCTGCACGCCACAGCAAAACAGCAATTAGTTAAAGAGCAACTCACTCTGACTAGACTGTGATCCAGAACAAAGATTGAGTTCGTTTTTCACTAAAAACAGAGCAATTTTGGCAGAAATTTATTGTCATCTGGATTGCCATTTGGACTTCAAGAATTTCCAATTTTTTTGAAAATTGTCCAGGATATTTTCAGTTACAAGTTTACGGGGACTCTTCGCCTTTGTTCACTGGGGAATTAGTTTTCCTTCAAAACATTTCAGTTTTTACGCAGATGGACGGCATTTATTTCAGGGAATTCAAGTTCTTTTCCGCGGCTGAAAAAAGACTATTTGAATGGCACTTTTTGGGAAAGATTACAGCCCCCTCCACACCACCGGTTGTTAGAAAAAGCAAAAACAAAACATACGGTTTTCGTGGAATTGAATTTCCTTGTTGGACTTTTCTTTAATTTGGATGTTGTCTTGTACACCAATACCCCACCGGCAATATTGACACTGGCATGGCACATGCTCATGTGTGTGTGTAACTGCCCACAAAGTAATTCGATCATAAATTAAATAGAAACACGAGTAAACAAATGTAGCTGTTCTTCTGCTTTCGATATTTGGTTGTTGTTGTTGTTATCAGGCGGCCATGTGTCAAACAAAGTTTTGCCACCCAATTTCCACAATTAAGTTAACACTTTGATCACCTGACCCGAATTCATGATCGAATTAATAAAATGTATAGAGACGGCCGCCGGCTTTGTGGTTTGGGCCTGTTGTGTGGCAGAGTGGCTGACGCCAATTCGAAACACAAATAAATGAAGACGTAAATCAACTGACAACGCCAACGCAGCAGCAGCAGCAGCAGAAGAAGAATGTGTTCATAAAAGTCAGAGGGAAAAGCAAAAAAAAAAGTAATAGCATTACAATTCTAGTCGGAAAGGGCAAACTTCAAGGAACAACCTACCGCAGGGGGTTCAGTAGGTGTCATGAGATCACTTGCCGGAGCTCACATTAACCGAGCGTCGTTGGAAATATGGCGGAGTGAGTGCATTGATTCAAAGGATTGGCATACTTTCGTAAGTCGAAAGCAAACTTTTTAACATAAAACAAGCAAACACACACACAGATACACAGATACATGCACTCAACTCGAGGTGCCCATGTGTGTGGCAGAAAGTGGAATTTATGGTAAAAAATGAAAGTTTGTCTGTTGGTAAAAAAGAAAAAAAAAATATTACACACACAAAAATGCCAAAGAACGTGTGAAGTAAAGGTGAAGGTAACAAAAAAACAGACACACACATATACACACACTTCCACTTATACACAAAATATAAGCTCTGCCAAAAAAGCATAAATAAAGTTGAAAAATTTCCGTAATTTTCAGCAAAAATTTTGGAATCTATTTGCGCATATATGCGTATGTGTGAGTATATTCGAGCTTCCACTCCACCGACTAGATACGCGGTTGCCAGCTGCACCTATAAAGTTGATCGATAGATGTTCGAAAGGTGGCAGCTTAAGCTAGAAGTCAGCGTGTGGGTGTGGGTATGTGTGCAAAACGCTGCCGCATTATTTTGCGGAAAACGAAGAAAAGGTGGAAAAGATAAGCTTTAGCAGAACTGTGCAAAACCACAACTTCCAAGGAATCGTAAAAATCTCAAATACCTACATACAGGTGTCTACATACATCTGCATCTACCCATGGCAGTGTTGCCTTAATATTATTAACGCTCTGCAGGCTCTCTTCATAATGAAGAAACAACCCGTTTCGTGGTGCTCTCTACTTTGGTCCGCTTCAACAGTTTGCCAAGCGCCTCTGCAACTCTTAAGTCACACTAATTTCCCGTGCATGTCAAGCACCTTGTACCGTAATTATTATTTTACTAAATTTTTTTTTATTTTTTTGAATTTTCGTATTTTCATTTTTCCCTTTCCAACTGCTCCGTGAAGTGATAGTATCATTTTCATGTAATTTTTGCTATATTCAGTTGGCTATTTCTTCTTCGTAAGCTCGAGAAACATTTAATGTGAATGCGACGTGATTGGAATTTTCCATTTGACCAGCGGTGCGAGGCAGCGAGCGAAGTCCGAGCCGAATTTTCTCCGTCTGACTAAACACAACTAAAATTTAACATTCAAAGTGGGGCATTCTAAGGAAACTTGGTTAAAAGCACTGATTTTTCGTATACAAAGAACTGCATTTGAACTGAAATTTTCCCACGAGATGGGAAATTTTTAAAGAAATCAAGGATTTTGATGCCCTCAATAAACTTTAAAACCTTTAATGATCTTTATACATATTTATTATATTTAGAAACAGAAGCGTGTAACCCCCCTAAATGGATACTGATCGGACCTGTAAGATGGGCTGAATTGATTTAAGCGTC